CGAAAATACCAAGTCTCGTCACTCTATCAACCAAAACCTGAACATTCTCAGTCCGATTGCCTTTCCTCCGCCGGAAATAAAATACTGAATCTCTGAATCATGCATTGAGTAAAATCTCCTTTCAAGTTATTCGCTGCCTCGGCACATAGGCAAGTGTCCTACCATTACACAAATACTGTACGATAGCAACACGGGAATTGTAATAATAATCAAATGCCAAATCTCAAACCTTAGATAATACTGATAATGAGCTGAAACGACAGAACAACCTTCCGCAAGGAGACGACTCTAGCAATATCAAATACGCAGGGAGAAACATTCTGCACCACATCTGTAGTACCATTACAATTCCTCGATTCCCAATTTATGACAAGCGCTTCACGTCGCATAAAATTGAATAGGAAAGAAATAAAGATACAAGCCTCAAAAGAATCACTTCGCATGATGAGGAATCAAGAAGGGAAGTGCTCCTAACAGCCTTGTAGCCTCTCGAAGATAAGTACAGACGTCTCCGTACCGATCCGCAAGACTCTACTAAACTCGCTCATGACTCGTGAGACCTAAGTGAACCTAGCGCTCTTATACCATGTTGTCACGACCCAAAATCCATTAAAGGTCGTGATGGCGCCGGACACCGCTATCAGGCAAGACAAAAATAAATACTTAATTTATTTCTCATTTTAATATTTTTAAAATCATATTTCCTTCAATTAAATAGTAAAACATGGAATTTACAGAGTAAATAATAATAGTTTTTAACAATTTCAACACAGGACAACCCATAATCATCCCAAAATCCGGTGTCACAAGTGCGTGAGCCTCAACTAGGAATGTAAAATAAAATACAGCATCTGTTCGGAATATAAATTTGGATAGGAGAAATATAAATACTCTGAAGGAGACTCTGCTAGCTGCAGATCGTAGTATAGAATGCAGCTCAGCTAAATCCCCGCCATAACCGCGCCTCTCCGCCCACAAGGCCACTAAACATATATGTACTTGCACGAAAATGTGCAGCAAGTGTAGTATGAGTACGTAAATCAATGCGTACCCAGTAAGTATGGCGCCTAACCTCGAAGAAGTAGTGACGAGGGGTCGACTTTGACGCTTACTATGGGCTATAAATAAAATATTAATGATATAATTAAGCATGAATTACGTAGAACGGTTGTAAGCTGAATATCATGAAATAAATAAACAATTCTTTTGTTAATAAGAAATTTCCAAATTTGTTTTGGTCATTTAACATTTTTGGACCTCGGGCCAATAAAAGCAATATTTATTATTATTAATTCCAAAGATATATCATGCGCAAATCATGTCGAGGTCATACGGCCCGATTCAATATAAATATTTAAACTGTGCACTGGCTAGGGTCGAATGACACGAACTATAGATGCATCTATTTAACCTGCCAAGGCATTCGGCCCGCTCCACAAAAGAGAAAATACAATTTAAAACAACCAAATTCAAGATTTATTAAGGGCAACTATTCAAGAAAAATATAAATTCTCATTTATGGTCAAGAAGAATGAAGTTTAGCCTTTTAAAGTTCCTTCACCAAGTTTCGATATGATTTAAGCAATTTAAATTAACAAGTAGGATGCAAGTATCGTAGTTATAACATAATCTGGGTCCTAGACTACCCGGACATAAGCATATTAGTAGCTACGCACGGACTCTCGTCACCTCGTGCGTACGTAGCCCCTACAAATAGAAGCACATATTCAATTATTTCACCTATGGGGTTAATTCCCTCTTACAAGGTTAGAAAGGAGACTTACCTCGCTCTGAAGTTACATAGCCGGCTCCCAAGCCTTTCAAACAATTCAAATCGATGCCTAACGCCCCAAAACTAGTCAATAAATGAGCAATTCCATAAATATATACTCTAATACTCATTACAATCCTATTTACAATAATTTTCAACTCGGTTCGAAAAGTCGATAAAAATCACCCTCTGGCCCGCGTGCCCGGATTCCGAAAATATTCAAAGACAAACTTTACTCATAACCCCACGAACTAAAATATATAATTTATTTCCAATTCCATGCCCAAATTCGTGATCAAAATCCAAGAATACCAATTTCTAGGTTTTTCTTCAAAATCTCAAATTTCTACTAATTTTCATGTTTAAATCCATATATAAACCATGTATTTAACTCAAAATGAGAAGAAGTCACTTACCCCATAATAGAGGATGAAGATGTCACTCCAAACCTGCTCCAAAATCGGCTCCCATGGACAAAATGAAGTGAAATTGAACCCAACTCTCGTTTTAAAGAAAACACTGCCCAGCCACGATCTTCGCACCTGTGGTCCAATAGCCATTTCTGCGACTCCGCACCTACGGAAATTCCATCGCAGGTGCAGTTCAAGCTCAGCCCAAACTTGTACCGCATCCGCGGCCCGACAGCGCTTCCACGCCTCTGCTTCTGCGGCTCTTCGTGCGCAGGTGCGGTCCCGCTTCTGCGGTTCTTGACCGCTTCTGCGGTCCCAGCCTTCCCCAGCCAGAACCGCTTTTGCGACCCTCTTGGCCGCTTCTGCGGCTTACCAGCTGCCTTAGCATTTTCCTTAGACCAAAAATTAATTCGTTAAGCATCCGAAACTAACCCGAGGCCCCCCGGACCCCAACCAAATATTCTAACAAGTCCAAAACATCATGCGAACTTAGTCGAGCCTTTAGGTCACATCAAACAACGCTAAAAACACGAATCACCCACCAGTTCAAACTTAATGAACTTTAGAACTTCAAACTTCTATATTTGATGCCGAAACCTATCAAATCATGTCCGATTGACGTCAAATTTTGCACACGTCACATTTGACACAACGGACCTACTCCAACTTCCAGAATCAGAATTCGACCCCGATATCAGAAAGTCCACTCCCGGTCAAACTTCTCAAAAACCTTCAAATTTCTAACTTTCGCCAAATGACCCCAAAATGACCTACGGACCTCCAAATCCTTATCTGGATGTGCTCCCAATACTAGAGTCGCCTTACAGAGCTATTCCCAAACTCGGAATCCCAAACAGACATCAATAACATTGAAATGCACTTCAACCCAAATATAGGAAATTCTTCCAAAAATGCCAACTTTCATAATAGGCGCCGTAACGCTCCCGGATCATACAAAACCGGATCCGGACATGCGCCCAAGTCCAAAATCATCATTCAAACCTGTTGGAATCTTCCAATCCCGATTCTGAGGTCGTTTAATAAAAAATCAAACCTTAGTCAATTCTTCTAACTTAAAACTTCCAAAATTAGAATTTTCTAACCAAACTAACTCCGAATTTCCCGAAATTCAATTCCGACCATACGTACAAGTCATAATACTTGAAGTAAAGCTGCTTAGGGTCTCAAACCGCTGAATGAGGTGCTAGAGCTCAAAATGACCGGTCGGGTCGTTACAAGTCCCAAACGTGAAGAGGAAAAAACACCCAGCTCCAATATAAACTTCGCGATCGCACTCCTCCATATGTGATCGGGAAGAAGACCCACAACACCAGAAAATCAGACAAAACCAGCAATCAAAGACAAGGGAGAAATGGTTCAAAACCGCCCGAAACATACCCGAGCCCCTCGAAACCCCGTCCGAACATACCAACATGTCCCAAAGCATAACACGGACCGACTATTGGCCTCGAATCTCATAAAATAACTTCAAAACCATGAATCGCACCTCAATTCATGCTTAATGAACTAATTCCAATTTCCAATTCCAAACATACGCCGAACACGACAAAACAACTTGGAATGAACCCAAAGTTTGCACACAAGTTCCAAATAATATAAAAACCTATTCCAACTCCCAGAATCATAATCCGAACCAGTTAACATCGAAGTGAATTTCCGGTCAAACCTATGAACTTTCCAAACCTTCAAATTGCAAACCTTTGCTAAATAGATCCAAAACCTTCTAAAAAAATCCAAATACGAATCCGGGCATACGCCTAAGTAAAAAATTACTATACAAACCTATTGTAACCATCAAAACGTGAATCTAACACTGCTTTCACAAAAGTTAACCCTTGGTCAACTCTTTAACTTTAAGCCTCCAAAAATGAAATTCTCTTCCAAATCCATTCTGAATCTCTCAAACATCGAAACCAACCATAAAAGCAAGAAGTAATACATCATATGAAGTTACTCAAGACCTCAAACCACCGAACAGAAGACTAATGCTCAAACCACCGGTTGGATCGTTGCAAAAACAGACCGAAAAATGATGACTAAGACCACCATTGGCACACAGAACTATCAAATTTTCCCGGTCAAGATCGAAAAAGTCTGACTGAACGGGTTAAAAATAATTTGTCTTGTATGTATTTTCTTTTCAGGAATAGGACCAAAAGAAGTCAAATTTACCGAATCAAAAGTCCTGGGAAGGTTGAAACAAAAGACTAGTGTCTGAATCCCCATGCTCCAAACTCAAAAATTTGGGGGACTACACATGCCACACAAAAGTATGACAAATTTCAACTATGAAGATAAAAGAGAGATCAATCTCAAAGAAAAAGAAGTTTATATCAACTTCTAAAAAGAGGGAAAAAGAAGAAAACTTTTAAGCAAATCGTTGAAAGTTTTCGAAAAGTTTTCGAAATAAAATTAGAACAAGTTCTTTTCCGACTCTTATATTTTTCGTAAATGCTAATGTTATTAGTCACATTAATGACTTAATTTTTTACTCAAATAAATTGTCTTAATAAAAGTTAATGAAAACATCAGGCATTACATTTGAAATAAGTGTTTTATTTCAATGTTATCCCTGGTTCAATATCCGCACATACTAACAATATATATTGTCCTACGTTGCACCAAAACAATATGAGACGTCATCCTCATACGTGTCGAGAAAGTAAAGGGCTCTCTTTCATATCTATGCCAAGCATAAAAATTGCGGCTTTAAGTGATCGATCAAAAATGATGAAGTCTATAAGACTTAGCAAAAATGCTGAAACGCAGAAGCATAGATACGAAATATTCAAAAGACGGAAACAAAAATGCAAAATGTTCCAAATATTAGGCAAAAAGCTTAGATGTTAACAAGACAAACCCAAAAACTAAATATAATGTAAGTGAAATCCAAAAGCTAAGACAACATGAACATTCGACAAGGATCAACTTGAGAAGTTAGTGATGTAGTGTGCAATTTAGTACGCTCGGCTTCAACAGTCTCATCCTGTCGAGGATTCTTCTTCGGGGGAAGAAGAACTCATAGCCTGCTGGGTCATCTCTACTACTTCCTTTGCCTTCTCAGATTTTGCCTCCAGATCTAAGCTTCAACATGAACCTCCTTCAACGTTTCACGGGTTTGCAAGAACATCCAATTCAGATAAATATCGAATTGGAATTTGAAGGCCTTGTACTTTGCAACCACCTAGTTGCTCTTAGCACAGAGATCTATCTTCTCAGCTTCGAAAGCATTAAGAGATGCCGTCAATGGGTCAACCGACGCAATGAGAAACCTCAATTTATCGCTCGATGCACATAGATCTACCTTAGCCTGGGTATACTCGTGCACTAGTTGACTCGAGTATATATTTTTCTATGCAAGTAAATTTTTAAGGCTCTGAATCTCCTCGGTAGATTTGAATTTTGATTAATGAACATGGCCTCCAATTGCTTCATTTCTGCTATAGTATACTTCAGTTCTGCAGTAACCAGCTTAGCCTGTTACTCTAAAGCCTCCTTCTCCTCCTGAAGCCCCTTCGCCGAGACTTCCAATATCTATGGTCTACCGCTAGCTCCGCAATGGTCTCCTCGTAGTATGTAATTCCCTTCAACACCTCTGTGCCGTTCAAATTGCACTGCAAAATCAAAGTCATATTAATTATCGAAATATAAAATGTAAACAAAATAAAAAGGAAGAAAGAAAAGGAAAATACACCCGGAGAGTGGAGTGGAGCATGGCATTGACCAAACTGGCAGTAGAATGGACATTGAATTTTCCTTGTTCGCAAGGGACAATCAACCTCTTTAACGGAGGGAAAACTTTATTGGGACGGTGTTAGAGATTAACATCCTCAAGAATCTCAGTTACAACCCGATGCATCTTTGCCTCCGTAGAGGGACCGCTACCTTCACGAGTAAAAATGTTAGGCAGATGTTCTGAAGCAGAAGAATAAGGGGGACGCACAGAGTGTTGGATCTCGAAAGGATGATCCCAATCTATGGACCATCAAAACTTGCAACACATAGAGCCTCGACCGACTCCAAAGTGGGAGCAGGGGTTGGTTTCTCTACACGCACCCCACAGTTTTTTTCTTCACTATCCTCCACGAAGATAGGATCATCCTCGGGCTCATCTCAGAGACAAAGTTGAGTATTTAGGGGGCTAACTCGGGGGCTGCTCTGGTCATCCCCTAATATTTTGGCCTTCTCTTTGCCAGATTTTGCTTTCTTCTCCAGAGAGCTAATATGGTCATTGCCAGAGCAAAAGTTGAAGAATCTTTGCTTTTCCGTTTCAAAGTGGCGAGCTTCAAAATCTCTTCTTGAGATTCATTTACCTTGGGCCTGTCAATAAAAGCCTTAGATTGAGTTCTCTGTGGCCAAATCCCTACACCAATAAAGGTTACATGCAAAATTTATATACGTAAAAGTATAAAAGAAGCTATCAGCATTCTTAGGGACTTACCATGCTTCATAGCTTTCTATCCAAATATTTTCGAGATATGCTTTCAGGTTATTTGATCCATAGAAGTGGAAGGCAATGTCATTTCCCCCTAACTATCAAAATCCGAGACTTTCCCAATTATCTACATAGTCGCTACAATATAAGAAAAGCATTAATAATATTAAATAAAAAAGGGTTATTTCACAAGTAATAACAAAACTTAGGGAGAAGTTCCATTTTCACGGAAAGAATGATCAATAAGCTGAATCAGATCTTAGGTAGGTACGACCATGAACCTTTCATACTACCCGCGATCTTAGTCATCCTTGAGGTTGAAAAGAACTCGCTTTTGCAATTTTTAAGAGTGGACACTCTAGCATGAAAAAGTTTGGGAGAATAAAGATAAAGAAGGTGGAAAAGAGTAAAATCTACTTAAGCCAAGTTCGATAAAGAATGAAGGCACGCTATGACCCTCTAAACAGTTGCACCTATTTGGGCTAAACAAACATTTTAGTGTCTGTAAAAAGCTTATATCACGGGGTTAATTGCAAGATTGAATCGTAGAATGAACGGATACATGTAGACAGATGAAAAAACCCTCTCGATAACTAGTGATTCACTCATTTGCTCGAGCAGGTTCAATGGGGAACTCATCCTTCCGATGACATTCTTTCTGGATAAGGGAGAGATGCTCAAATTGGATGAGGGATGGGTAATTGTTCGCAGAAGTATTTCGGTTACCCTTTTGGCCTATTATTTTATTCCACTAGGCACGTTCTCCCACATAATTAAATTAGTTGGGTAGAATCTCTTAAACAATGTGATTAGCAGCGGACACTTGTTTATCACACTTCTTACTTTTTATTGGTGACTTTACGGTGGCGGAACCTTTTCCGACCATCTTAGAACTCAATTTCTAAAGTCTTCTACTTCCTTTTCTAAACTTAATGGAGTTTTAATATCTGGGAGATCATCAACGATAATAGTACGACAGATGATGTTTCAAAAGATGGTGAGGAAGAAGAATTAAGGGTTTTCTATTTATAGAAGGAAGGGACACCATCATAGAACCGTCATCATAGGTCTTTCATCTCGAAGTCATAGAGTCGTGTTTGCTTTGGAAACTGCCGATAATAGCAGAACCAATCAAGTCATGCCACGTGTTTCGGTCATTAAATAAAAATGGTGCATGTTGTTTCACTTTAGAACACGTCACAAAGATTTTAGAATAAATTATTAGGCACACTTCTTTGTTCCACCAAAACTTCTATCACTTTTCGATTATTCATCAGTGATTACTCGAAAAGTAGGGGACTATCTGTACTGAAAAAAAAAGGAGCTACCATGTGGATAAATCAAATAATGACATATGTAGGATGATGCCAAACTAAATGTAAAACAATCGATGGATCTAAAGGTCATTTGAAGAATGAAATCGAGATCTACATGGGAAAGATCATTGATACAGGATAGTTGATGTTGGGGCTTCAAAGGCGTTAACGCGAGAAGATTTTCCGCGAAATCTTATTATCATGACCCCAAAATTACACCTTAGGAATCGTGATGTCACCTAGTCTTTAAGACTAGGTAAGCTTAACGTATGATGAGATGTAACATAATTAACCAACTTAACTAGCATACGCATTTAAACTGATTAATGAAATAACATGGCAAAAATCAAAATATTGTTCTACAACCCCAAAACTGGTAGTACAGAGTCATAAATTCTCCTCAGAGTAACTAAGATTATCAAATACAACACTCTTTGGAATGAAAGTAAACAGTAATAAAGTAAAGCTCTAGAAGGTGTGTCTGAAGCATGCAAGTGTAATGGCAGGTATAACTTGAAGTCTCCGTAGCAAATCTCCAATAGCTAACCACAGAAGGAATATTAGTATAAAGCTGACAACGAAATAGTAAAAATAACAAATGGCAATAAAGGAAAGTAAGCAGATGATAAAGTTACAAAATAATCACAACACAATTAAAATATGAATGAAATCAGTTAGGGAAACAAATGACGATTCAATAAATCTAGTCGTTCCAACACATGATTTACAACAAGAAACACTCAGATACACCACACCTCATAATCACAAAATCATAGGCCACAATCACGAATCTGACACCCATCTCACCTTGTGCCCACATTATCAATCACCTTCGCTCGACAAATTCCATGTACTACCATGTACATTGTGTCCGTGTCATTGCCAAATAAAATATTTGAGAGATTTATTTAAATAAAATAAGGCATAATAACAATTATGTTTAAAGTAAAGCATCAAATGAGATAATGAATTTATTTTAGAAATTAAATAAAGTAAAATAAAGTACAATTTATACAATGTAGAGTATCAAATGGGAAGATGAGTTTAGTTTAGAAATCAAATAAGGTAAAGTAAAATAACGTTTTTAAATAAAGTAAATTTGTGAATCATTTAAAGTAAGTATGATAACAATTTAGATATAGTAAAACATCAAGTGGGATGGTGAGTTTTATCATAAGAGTCACATAAAGTAAAAGCATGTTAATAATTTATTTATTTAAAACGGTTATGTTACTAACAACTCAACAAAATATGAGATGATGACTCCACGCAAGTAAATTCATCTTGACAATCAATTCCCCAAGTAACAACGGAGGCACAGATTGACACATTAAAGCAACACAACAAATCACGTAGAATGCATGACTCACACAAGAAGTCATAACCGTTCCAACACAAAAATAACAACAAATGACCAAATACAATCAAAATACAAGTGAAATGATTTAAAGAAAAACAATAACTGTTCAAATCAACAAGCCGTTCCAACATAGAATGTACACTAAGAATCGTATTGAGGTACCACACCTCATATTCATATTTAACAATTCACAATCATGATTTTTTTTATATCTCCGCATGAGCCTTGCATTTATTTTTAAAAATATTTTTCCCAAAATAACATTATGAGCTTTAGCCCCTTTATTTCACCGCGTGGCTTCAAGTAATTCCCTTACTAGCAACACGCGTATAAATCCCACCTTATCTCACTGCATGCGCATCAATACCTACCCTTATACCACTGCATGCGCATCAATATCACAACACAATAATCAACTCACACCACACGTTCCCATATGCCACAATATTGCCAAAATCAACAATACCAATGTCATCACAATACATAGCCCACGCTTAACCACAATGTGCACAAGAATCGCAATAACAACAAAATTAAAGGGAAAATAACTCAACAATGAAATATATTCCATAAAATAACAACATTAGTTAAACCGTGTTAATAGATCTCAATAACTACAACTTCAATTCAATATGTAAGAATAAACTCAACAATGAAAGGTTTGACATGTAATAACAACCTCAATAAAATGCATGTAAGAGCAAACTCGACAATGAAAGGTTGAACATTTGTTAACAACTTCAATTATGACATATCGGAGTAAACTCAACAAGGGAAGATAGAACATGTAATAACAACTTCAATTAGAGCATATAAAATGAATTCAACAACGAAAGATGTAACAAGTAATAATAACTTTAATTAAATGCATATAAGCAACCTAAGAGTCTAAACCGGTCAATTTTCACATATAAGGTCATGCATACACTCGTCACCTCATATACACATCTTCCATGCTTCAGACATCAAAACACATAAAAATCACAATGAACTTTAACAACTTCTAAAAACACAACCACACATCTGATTCCTCTCAAACCATCTTGGTATGACAGCAAATTTTGCAGACAAGTCACAAATGAAAAAACGGACCTATTACAAGTTCCGAAATCAAAATTCAAACTGGATAGACGTAAAGTCAAACCATGGTCAAACTTTAGAAAATTCTAAACCTTTAAGTTGCCAAATTTTGCCGACAAGTGCCAAATCAACCTAGGAACCTCCAAATTCAATTCCGGCCTCACGCCCAAGTCTAATGCCACAATATGAATCTATCGTAGCCATAAAAATACCGTTATGGTATTGTTTATATAAAAGTAAAACCTCAATCAACATTTCCAACTTAAGTTTCTAAAATGAGAATTATTCTTCCAACTCAATCCCGAATCACTTGAAAACTAAAACCAACCATGCACGTATATTTTAATAAACAATATGAAGCCATTCAAGACTTCAAACTATCGAGCAAAACTCTAAAGCTCAAAATGATCACTCGGGTCGGTACATTCTCCCCCCACTTAAACATACGTTCGTCCTCAAACGTGCTAAGTTCAACGACCCGACCGGTCGTTTGAGCAATTGCATTATGTTCAGCTATTAGAAGTCTTGAGTAGCTTCATATGATGTATCATGACTAATTTGAATCGTCGGTTTTAGTTTTCAGGTGTTTCGAAATTTGGTTGGAAGAATGAATTTCATGCTTGAAGCTTTAAGTTGGAAGAGTTTACCAAGGGTGAGTTTTGAGTATTTGACCACATATCGGGGTTTTGATGGTTCCATTAGGTCCGAATTGTTATTTTGGACTTGGGGGACTTAGGCGTATGCCCGTATTTACATTTGGATATTTCTAGAAGGTTTCGACACTTATTGACAAAAGTTGGAAATTTGAAGGTTTGGAATGTTCATGAGTTGACCGGAAGTTGACTTTGATGATATCGAGTTCGGATTATTGTTCTGGTAATTGGTATAACTTCGTTATTTCATTTGGGACTTTTTTTCAAAATTTGAGTCCACTCCGAGTTGATTTGATAAGGTTCAACATGAGTTTTGGAAGTTAAAAGATCCAAAGTTCATTAGGTTCGATTTGAGGAACGATTCATGGTTTTGATGTTGTTATGCGTGATTTGAGGCCTTGAGTAGTTCTGTGTTATGTTATGGGACTTATTGGAATGTTCGTACGGGGTCCCGATGGGCTCGAGCATGATTCAGATTGATTTCAGACCATTTTTCTTTATATTTTGCATTGCTGGTTTCTGCTGGTTTCTGATGCCTCGTTTGTCTTTCGCGATCGCGAAGATAGGAATGCGATTGCGTAGGGGAATATATAGAGCTGAGTATTTCTTCTTCGCATTCATGAATATTTGTCCGCATTCGCATTCATGAATATTCGTGCGTTCGCGAGCCTTAGGCTGCGTTCGTGTAGAGACTTTTCGAGGCTGAGCATTTTGTGGTTCGCGATCGCGAAGCTTGTTCTGTGATCGCGTAGAGTATTTCTGGGGCAGTGCATTTTTATTCTTCGCGATCGTGATGGTGTTTCCGCGATCGCGATTCATAAATTCATCCAGTGATTATAAATACTCTATTTTCGGGGGTTTCAGTCATTTTAACGTATTTGGAGCTATGGAGCTCGGATTGAGACGATTTTTGAAGTAATGTTCACCCTATGGATTGGGATAAGTATTGTCTACTCGGTTTTGATTATATTTCATGAATCTATCCTCATTTTTGGTATTTGATTGATGATTTCAAATTGGAAATTGGGGGGTTTTGTCAAAAATTTCATAAAGTGAATTTTTGAGTTTGGAGCATCGATTCGGAGTCGGATTTGAGTGAAACTAGTACGGTTGGATTAGTAATTGAATGGGTTATTGGATTTTATGAGTTTTATTGGGTTCCGAGGTATGGTTCCGAGTTTGACTTTATGGTTAACTCTGTGCTTTTGATTAAAGATTCCACTTTTATCGATTTGGTTTGTTTCCTTTGGTATTATTTGATGTTCTTGAGTTGCTTTTGTCTAGTTTTGAGTCGTTTGGAGGTCGTATGCGTGGGGTGGCATTTTTGGAGTATCATTTGGCTTGTTCAGTGTCGGATTTGACTTGTTCAAGGTACGTAACACTTCTAAACTTGGTGATGAGGGTATGGACCCCTGAATATACGTGTAATGTGTCTGGTGTTGAGGTGACAGATATGCTAGATGACGGGTGTATGGGCGTGCACCATGTGAATTGTGACTCGATTTATTCTGTGGTACTGTGTATCTACCTAATCATGTTTTTATCCATGAAATTTCTACATGCTAAAGTAATTGATATGTGATC